ATATATATAAAGGCTAATAACGAGTAAAATCGCCATTAAGTCCGACCATACTCGAGATATAACACGTAACTCTTTTCTATCTTTCCCCCTCGACCTTTAATCAATTTGCTAGAAAGTTAAGTGATAATTAATGGAAATAATTCTAATCTTTAAATGTTTTATTCCATATTCTGAATGACTGCAATAAAAATAAGGAATCATTAATAAGAAATCCAATCGTCAATATAGAGAAAAAACACGGTAAATCGATACCTGCAAAGTTCATTCAATAGAAAAAAATTCTATGTCAGGTACGTGGAGTGGATTAAAAGTCAGTTAACCTAGATATATTTTAAGAACGGTTAAGACCAGTTGGAACAGCTGCGTAACTGTGATTCAGTCGCTTCATTGGAAGCGGCTTAAAATATATCTAGGTTAACTGATTTTTGGTCCAGACTGTATGCTGTTAATCTTAATTTAAAAGTTGGCAATAAAATATTTAAAAAAAAGTGAATTTGTTTTTGATAATAATAGAACAAAATAAAATTATACATTTATTTCAAGCTTACAAAGTTATTTGCTTCGTTAAATATCTATTTTAATTAATAAAAAATACATTTAAAAGTGTAAAAACCATTAATAAAAAAAATAATCACAGTATATTTTTGGAAAAATATTCTATAGAAAGAAATAAATTAGAAGAGAGATGAGGAGGAAGGGGAGGAGAAGGAGGAGGAGAAGGAAAGGAGGAGGGGATGAAGAAGAGGAAAAGGAAAAAAATAAAAAAATGCAAATTGCAAGATAATAATCATATAATTTTTTTTTACTATTTCCTTCCTGTAAGTACTAAGAGGGCCATTTTTTTAAGCTCATTGAGAGTTCAACCAGGGTCACAATGGGGCCACCGGGTGGTGAGGAAGAGCTTAACATATCCGGGATAGGCCACCACAAAAAATTCTTAGGGTTTTTGACCGTTCAGATTCGATCCCGAGTCTCCACGAGCGGTAGGTTGATACCTTAATCACCTCAGCCATCAGCTGTCAATATTGATCTCCATGATAAATCAGTTGACCCCTAAGGATTGCTAGCGATTAAGTTAGAAACCTCTAGATTAAGACAATAATTAGTATATGCTACACAAGAACAAAAAGCTGGCAAAGACTCTTGTATTACTTTCCTGGCACTCGAATTAAGAGGATCAGGAAGAAGATCCGATAATTTTCAATTAAAATAATCTCTAAAATTTTAAAAACAAAGCAAAAATCTTATTTTGGGGTATAAGGGTGAGTTAAAAAGAAAACAAATTTAAATGCCAATTCGAGATGTAACCAGTGTCCTTTTCTATCTTCCTACTCCCTTAACCTCAACTACCAAAATTTTATAGCTTAAATGTGTCCGTATATAGAAGTGTTCCTACCAAATTTCAAAATATTTTTGTCCATGGGATCGTGAAATATAAAGCAAAATACAGACCAATACATACATTTACATACACAAAATTTTGTCTCCCCATTTTTATATGTTTTTGTTTCCTGATCGATTACAATAATTTTACATAATTTTATATTTTTATTCGTGCCTAAAATTTGAATTTTATCTTAAACAATACATTTTAAATATTTTATTTAATTTTAATAAAAATAAGTTACTCCATCATAGGATTTTTTTTGTCTTCATTATTTATTATTGGCTTGAAATATATTTAGTTTTTTTATTTACAGTACTGGTAGGTCTATTGTTATCAATCTAAAAATACCCATTCTTTTATTTTTTATCGAGTAAAGAACTTATATAAACTAAAATTAACAAGACTTTTTTTAAAACATGCAAAGAATATTGACTATGATGCTTTAATAAGTCTATATTCAAATTTTTATATCTCTTTATGATAATTTATTAATTAGATTAATCAAATAAAATCTTTATAAATTATTTAATAGTTACAGAATTAAATAATTTCTAGCGATCATGCTGGAATGCTTTTATATATTAAATATATATTCTATATACAACGAAATTAATATCATTATATATACAGTATATACATACCAAACTATGTATATATGTTAGGCTCTACACCTTTCAACGTATCCACGCCAAATTTGGCATTAATATTCTTTAACATCCTAGAAGAATACTGTGGGGTCTCACCCCCACCATCCCTAAAACCTACTTTTAGCTTAACACTACTAAATACTGGTAGTTAGTTAGTCACGGGTTCGCGCCTCACTAACGAGTTGAAGTTTTATGGTTTTCTTTACCTGTCTAATACCTAAATAGAGCCCAGTTTTATGTATAAGTCCTTCCTGAAGGCACCCAAATTGGCATATTGCCCATGTGTTGAGTTGCCTTCTTCCATCAATCGGATCCCCAATCTTCTAAACTTGCAAACTTTAATTGCAATATAACTGTTGATCTAGAGTTTTAATTAATTTAAAATATATGCTCTCCACCTCAAATTAGTGGTAGCTTGCCCCCGTACGTCATACTTTTCCTTTAATATAAGAGTCGTTCCGGTCATCTAACACCTTTCGGGGGAAAATTGATAATGTAACTATACAGTTAATCGGGGCCTCCTGCTTCTAAGTTTCTATATTTGGTCTCATCTTTCATCTGTTATAAGAATAACTGGAATATTGTTAAAACAATTGATAGATCTGTAACAAGGCCGGCCTTAAGTTTATTAGACCAGCTGAATTACAGCTAGTCTCATATATTTGCTAAGATTGGTCCTGATAGTAGCAACAAGAGATGATAATTCAACTATTGTTTTTGAAATTTTTAAATCAATTTTCGTGTATTTTAATTAACGTATAGAAATTTTAAGTTTTTTCGTTTAAATTGTATATATTTATTGTTCTATTCATTGTCAGTTGCCTTCTATATTGATCTTAATCTGAAAGCACAAACAGACTGAAGTGAAGTTTAATTCTTGTTTGGATATTATTAATGTTATTCACTATGAAATAATCATATTTAATATCATAAATAAAATGTTATCAATTTTAGTTGTCGTTATAATACTGTAAATTCATAAATAAATCAATCGTTCATGATAAGAAAAGAGTTAATTTTTTAAAAGAAATTTTCTAAAGTTACTTTTTATTATTAAAAATTGATGTAATCTTTTCTGAAAATACATTTTTTATGCCATAAAACAAATATTATTTCGGAAACAATCTATTTTTCATAAAATAAATTTAAAAAAATACTTTTTTCTGCTAAAGAACTATACAATAAAATAAGTCTAATATGGTATATGTATAGGCCTACTGTATATATAAACATCGGAATCGCAAGATGCCGAATTATTTTTCCGCTTCGGCAGGTTTCCGCTTTAAACAGGTTTTACTGTCCGAGTATATACAGTAAATAAATAAATAAATAAATGTATATTTCATTTTTGTGTTATTCTTCCCTGTGGACACCTCTTTTAACTCTTTATCCTGTGAGCACCAAGAGAGCCTTTTTAGCAAGTCCATTATGGATTCGGCCAAGCCCACAATAAAGACGCCGTGTATTTTTAACTCTCCTTAACTGATAGTCCAGTAAAATGCCTTTGCTTTTCATACACATCGTGGGTTCGGCCAATCCACAATGGGGCGGTAAGGGACGGCGCCCGATATATCCGGATGGACCATCTCTCTCTGAAAAATTCCTGGAGTTTTTCGATCTGCTAGGATTCGATCTCGGATACCCCAAAGCGATACGCTGTTACCTTAAACACTATGCAATTAATCGACAAAAATTACAATTTTTCTTAAGAAATTTAAGTAGAGATATTACAATAATATCATTAACATATCACTTTTTATTAATTAAGAAACATTTTTAATTTTAATAAATTTCTTTAAAAATATAAAAAAAAAATCCGGAACTATTTTACACGAAATTTTAGTTATTTCAAAATAAATCCGCCAGATGGAAGTTACGCTATTGTGCTGCCACATTGTGACGAAAAGAAAACTACTGTTCGGTATGACGTCACACCGATGGAGTTACGGTAAGTGGTGTTTAGCATTTATATTTATTAGTAGAGCATTAAATCGTTTAAAGAACTACTCTTTGGATTTACAATATTATTTATACGAATAATTAGATTTAAATCTCTTTTTGAATATTCAGGCCAATCAAAATGTTATGAAAAGTAATCAGTTTCATTATTTACAAGAAGACAAATGTCACTGCCTAAAATAGAATGTATCCTGAAAGTTTCATTATGTTGCATGACGTGTAGATAAGTGGAATTAAGGTGTGAATCTCATCACTTCTTTACATTACTAATGTTTATTCGAACCGAACTCCACAAGTTCTATTCTCCTTAAAATATATATTAAAATAAAATATATTAATTAATTAAATTCATAATTTAATTAATTAATTTTTGTTATATATTTTCAGTCATCAAGTGATTTACTACAGATTCCATTTTTATTGTGTTTATGTATTGTTAAAATTGTCATTTGGGAGGAGTAATTAACATGTTTTTCTCTGTTGGTATGTTAAGCAGATGGTTGAAATGTGTTATTGATGCTAGTGTAATTTACTAGTTTCAGAGCTGCTAAATTAGTTTTGTATGGGATTTCAGATGGCATCTGTACACAATTGTAATCTGAAATAAGTGTACATCATATTTGATTTTGTTAATGTAGGTGTGACTTCTTTACAATGTTTGCTCTTTTTATGCTTGTTAATTTAAAAAAAAAAATTGCTTCTTATTCTATAATTTCTTGTGTTGATGCTGAATTAATACATTCTGTTAAAATGTTATAAATTAATTTTTGGCTTTGGTAAAAAGTTTATATGTCGATGGATTATGTTTGTATGCTAAATCTGCTTTGACCTTCTTGGCTATGATTTTATAAGTTTGGCTCAATCATAGTCAACCACTATGTACAGTATTTTCTTTGTTGTTTTAGAGATCTTTTATTTACCACTCCCATTTCTATGTTACCTTGTATCTTGTGAGCTAGCCTTTCTGTTAACTTACTGCTGTAACCATGTTGCTATGTTGATGTGTCGAATGCATTGTATTCCTTGACGTTAGAGCAATGGGTAAAAGCTCTTTGAAGCAGAGCCCTGCTATTTTATAAATATATGGGTCATTAGATATTGAAGGGATAAAGAAAGATTGTAGGTTAGGTTTATGGTACACCTTTGTAGCTATACAACCATTTCTCAACTGTATTTGGAGGTCAAGGAAATGGGTCACCCTATCACTTTCTTGATATAACTTTAACATAAGCCCAAACAGGTTGCCATTAAAATCTTGCAATATTCTATCCATATCTGGCTTAATCTACAGATAATAAGAATGTCATCAATGTAATGCATGTATAATATAATTTCTGAAGTGAAGTTTTCTAATACCTGGCACTTTAACTTTCTAACTGTTAATTCACACAAGTCTCAGATATCCATTATTTTATTTCATTTCAAATGTTTCGTAAAACCATGATGTCATAAGAATGCGAATGAATCTCAATGTTTTAAATTTATGTTCTAACTGACATTCCAGTTATGTTTAACATGAAGAAGGCCATTTAAGATAGCCAAAAACATTAGTTCATTTGATTTAATTCAAGAATTTTTCTAGAAAAAGGAGAGAAAGGTGTTTTGAAACTTAATAAATTTATTTCAAGATATTTTTGTGTGCATATGATATATCATACAACTCCAATAGATAGAAGTTAGTTTTATGTAATTCATACATAAATGCAGTGAAGCATTAAAGATAGTGTGTTAAGAATCTGGATTTTGCTGTTGAAAAATGATATAATAATCCATTTCATATGATAACTTTGTTATTGATGTTCTTTGGGCCTTTTATTATTGTTATTCTAACATTCATGCAGCAATTGTAATATTTTAATTTTGAAATTATAATTAGGGTATTTAGTGTATTTTTTTTGTTTAAAAATAGTGATTCTGTAAATTATATTTTGAGCCTTTGTAGGTCTTCCCACATTCCTTATGAAATACTGGCTTTAACTTAGAATGTCTAAACTTGATTTATAGTGTATGTGGAGTTTTTAGTGCCTAAAATGCTAATTTACGCATCACGTTATATGTATATTTGGAAATCCAGATGACATCCAGCCTCAATTAGTCCAGATTTTTTAGACTTCATTGCACAGTACAGTACATATACACACATTGACCTAAACCTTCTATCCTCCAGTAGTATGCTAAGTATATATTTATATATTTCTGCCAAATTTACAAATGACTTTGTGTTTTATTTTGTACATTCAGACATTTTTAATATATAAATTTAAAGAAAAAACAGACTTATGCTTTTTTTTTTTTTATTTAATCTTGATTATTCTGTAATGTTCAGTTTTTTGGCAAATTTATTTAAAATATTACAACTGTTAAAGAAACAGATTGGTCTAAGCAGATTGAATAAAATTATTTATAATATCTTATTACAAATTATTGATGATATGAAATTATTCATTATGTAAATCATACTACAATGTTGATAAAACAATCATAACATTAAGTTATGGCATTTGTTGTAAGCTCAAGTAAGAAATAAGTTTTGTTTTTTGAGATTACATCAAAAATTTTAATAATTATGACTAAAGTATTATGAATATTAAAATTTATTGCTTTCTAACTGGAAATGAATGAATTTTATGTTTAAATATTGATAGCTTTATTATTTACAAATGATTATTTTAAAGTTATTTTTTTTATGGGAGGAATCTGTTAAAAAAATAACTATAATAAAGCTTTTACTAGATGGAATTTTATATAACGATTTCAAAATAGTTTTTCTGATAGTCCTATTATGTAAAACACACATAATCACAATTGACTGATAATTTTATTATTACAATACAAATGATTAAATATGTCAATGCCAAGATTATCTGTGAGTTAAGGACAAAATATGTTCTACCATCATTGACTAAATTTGAAATGATTATATTTAAAATAAATTATTTAATTTAGCAAGAAGTTAAAGATCATGTATAATGATTAATGTGTTTGCATGAGTTTTTAATCTATATACAGTCATAAATTTTTTTGAAACATATCTTTGAAATGTTTTTATATGAAATAAATGAAAAAGTTTCAAGAATTTATTCTTGACTCTTTTTTTTTTTTTTTTTAAGAGTTTAAGGTATTGATAATTTTCTCTCATGTTAATATAAAAATTGATTCATATGATACATTTTAACATTATTTCATCACAAAAACAAGTTAAAAAGTAATCAATTAAAATCAACATTTGCAAAATAAATAAATAAAATACTTTCTTACTGGAACTACACTATAAATAAAATCAAAACCTTTAAATAATCCAGCAAATCGTTTTTTAATATCAACATTTGCTTCAAACACAACCAACAACAGACTCATCATAATTGTTGAATAAATATAGGCTAGTTTACTAGTCTATATTTATTTAACAATTAAAAGTCCAGTATGCATTTTGACAACAAAAAGCAAATGTTGTCTACCTTAGCTGGTTTTTAATTCCACAATTAAATTGGAAGGTCTGTGTTAGTGAGTTATTGAGTATGTTGGAGTAGTAGAACATAGTTTGTGTTGATAGGTTGAATTGAAAAAAATGAAAAAGGAGAGGAAAGAAATAATAGGATGAATAGTGATCCTTTCTATTATTCCTTTATTAGTGATATTGGATGGTTGCTTGATATGTGGTGTCAATTAGGGTTTCTCATTTCCCGGTCTTTTGCTTGTCCCGGGATCCCGGGAAATCCCGGGATAGAATTAATTATATTTAAGGTATACAAAATATCTTGAAATCAAATGATATAATTATTTTCCATTTTTTAAAGTAATTTTAAAGTTCTGTAACCTCCAAAATCATATTAATAATGCTGTGTAAGGTCTATAGGCCTATAATAAAAATTACCTTTAAATAACGTAGAAATTTTCACAAATAGAAAAAAATTAATTAAAGTTTGCTGGAAACTGCATACAACAACAACAA